GGTCGACTAAATCACCTCAAGTGTTTAATTAGCTCTCTGAGATCTGGCTTTAGCACTTGATGAAGGATTTGCGAGATAAATGAGTTTACTATGGGGCACAAGCAGCCACAGAATGCACGCTTCAGTTGACGCCCGGGTTGGAATGTTCTCGCTTTCAACAGACTTACCCACTTCCCGTAGCAAATAAAATTCACTTTGTAAAAATGTGGCTCATTTAGTAAATAGGGAATTTAAGGTCCAATACTTTTGTCTGGATAGTCAAGTGGAAAAGCGAAAGGCATTAGAACGAAATGGGTGTTAATAAGCAACTTAAAAGACGTGACAAGCGGTCTGGAGGTTTTACCATTTTTATGGGTGAATTGTAGGAAGACACTTTGCACATTCTGTGACTTGGGCCAAATTTTGCAGGTTTTTGGGTTTTCAGGTCAGACAAACAAACTTAGCACGGTTCGAACAAAAAAGATCATTGCGTTGATACCGTGGCTTGGGGCATGAAAGATTTTGCCGGCACAATTATTTATCAAAGTTTACATCTCAATAGGAGGAGGTAATACTCACCTCGATTTTTTTCGGTTTACACCTAATTTGCATAATTATCGTTCGTCTGCTTTTGAAGTTGAAGGTCTCGCCACCCGTTAAGCCCATTTTTTAACGTTAATAGTAGAGTGTATTAGCCTAATTTTCGATCCTTGCTTGGTCGGATTGGCCGCTTTCATGCCCACTTTAGTACTCCCACCTTGCGTCTTGAAAATGGCATTTCCTTCGCACAAACAGAAGACTTTGAGGGGTTGAGGGCAGAGCGTGGCCTTTTGGGTCAGCAATAAGGTAAGCAAACAAGGTCTGAAGAGCAAAATGCGTTTCTTTCCCTCGTTGAATTTATGCATCCGCGGTAACATTTGGGGACAATTAGGCTTGTCTTGTAATCGTGTAGACATTGACCTTTAGTGGTCGCTAGTGTTGCGTGGGTCTGCGCCGATCGCATTTCCCATGGGTAGGTAGATGAGGAATTCGTTGTGGATTTGAGAACCCCCACAACTTCGACACCTGCAGGCTTTCTCATCATGGCTCAGTCTACTTTTACACTTGCAAATTTGACGCTGGGATTCACTTTGAGGAAAGAAATATAAAACTGCTAAAGGGTATACTTAGTCTCCGAGACCAAATTTTAAAATTACATGTCTGACGCCTATACTGACACACTTGATCCGCATTTATTGCCATTTGGACGTCTCGCGCCTTATTAGTCTGCAAAACGAGGGATGCAATGGGGTGTAGACAGCGCTATAAACCGATGTCTGGTTGGGTGAGCTTAAGTGCAGTCTCGATGCTGGTGTCTAATTGCCGAGGCATTTGAAATGGAAGGTAGAGGGGGCTGCGGGTGATGTTGGTCTCACGCGCATCGTAGATGGTTGGCCCTGACCTTATAGGGATTGGTGACGCACTTAAAGTACTTCACGAGGGTGGAACTTTGTGAGGCATTTCGAAATTGGCTGTAAAGGTGAACTTTTCGGGAATATCGAAATGATATTCCCAGCATGAAAAGGAAATAGCGAATGCCAACACATCATGCTATTTAATCCACTGTACCAACGTGGGAAATAAGCAGAGATTGTTAAAATGCCAAACAACTGCCGACAAACTCATTTCAGTGAGGATGTAGATCCAATTAGTGAGTTCCGCTTTTGCTTCCTTAACTGGCCATCAATGATTGGTCAGAAAGATTGTAAAATTTACCATCATGGCATAGACGGATGACAGATCCCTTCACCTCCCTCTTCGTCTTAACATTCTAGCATTATTTGAAAAGGCAACCGAAGAGTTCATGCAGTACGCTGATGCAGCAGTAAAATAATGCACAGAGTCGAGCAGAACAGCCCATGTCTCCCCAATTTGGAGGGGTAGGAAAACACCATATGGTTGAGTGTTTCTATTTATTAATCAGAAAACAACTCAATGCTTACCTACCAGATGGCCTTTATTAACGAGGTTTTCTGCCTCTTTCATATGCTCCAACAACGTTGAATAGCACAAAGAGAAAGACCGGGCAAAATTTGTTTTAAAACAAAAGGGGAGAGTCCTTCCCTTGCGTGCCAAGGTTTGGGAGTTTTACAGAGGCGAAATAAAAACACTGCGGATGCTAGATGAGGACTAAGTGGAGGTCACAGCCCCTTCTTCAGCCGTGGCATGTACTGCAGCCTCTGTCTCGGTTCGGGCAACCCTCCTCCCAGGGCTTCCAGAAGAGATCTCTCCTTGGATGGGCTTATTAGGCATCATTACGCGCGACACATAGAAGATCAGACGCAGTTACTGGAGGAAGGGCGGCTCCTCGGGCACGACGTTAGAATTGCATGTCCGCATAATAGGCACCACATCGTATTCTTCTGCTTGACAAAGGTACGCCATAAGTGTGGCTAGAGTGGATCCCATCTCAGACGAAACCTGTCTCTTTAGCTACACTCACCCACCCTCATTTGAGTGGAAGGTAGCTTAAAGAGCAATTTGTCTTATTTGAACTGAAACGAAATCCTTTCCTCCATTTTTTTAAAATTCTTTGTACTACATGTTGGCTCTGGATTAAGAGGTGTCTTCTGCTCCATCCCAAGTAAATCAAATCACTGGCTCAAGTGCGCCATCAAAGTGGCAGTTAACCGCACATTGCAGGCGAAACGACCACTTCTCGAAGACGAGGAGGAGGATTACGGAGAACCAGGAGCCACATCCGGTTACTCTGGCTTAAGCATCAACATTTGTGCACAACAAAGAAGATGAATCCAACCTTCCTGACCATCTGCTTGCATACCACACTTGCAGTAGATCTGACCTCGCCAATGTCATCCGTGATTGGGGCTTCCACACTCCTTTAAGTCAATAAACCGACAATGGACGTTAGCAACACCTATTTTTTCTCCATAAATATACTGCAAATGAACCAAATTTGTTCCTTATCAAAAAGAAAAAGAGTCATAATGAAGGCGTTCTCGAAATAACGTTTCTCGCTAAATCACCTTCATCCCTCTCACTTAACCCGCTACAACGTCAAATGCCCTTCATAGTCTTACCATTCTGCTTCCTGTTAAAAAAGGGTATTCGAAAATGCTAATTTTTGAAGCACAAACTTTTACATCAACTTCGTTAACTGCGATTTGAGTGTGTGCAGTTTCCGTAAATCATAAATGAAACTCTTTTGTGCGAGACTGTTACTTGGGGAAATGGGAACAATGTCCCACAGCCATAAAGCCGGCAGAGGACATGCAGACAGGCATGCCTGTAGAAGGGACCAAAACACGACCCGTCTACAGCGGTCCGCATACTTATAGCATTGGCTGACCTTGACCTTGACCTTGCAGCGAGTAGTGCATCTGCTCCATGAGTGGTCTCTGCCACACTGGGATGGCGAGCCGGTGGAGGAAGGGAAGCTCTACAACGTTCTGGTAGTTTGTATAAAAGCTACAACTTCTGGAATCTTAAGATAGGTATGATTTTGTGAGGTTGCCGGTAAAAATCGCATTACTAAGCATTTAAAGGAAATTCTGTTCAATTCTTCACCTTGCAGGATGCAAGAAGTTATTCATAGGTTGGCTGGAATTCACTTACCTATCCAAATTTTCACAAAATGCAAATAATCCCTCGCATTTCCGTTTTTTTAACCAGCACGGATGTCGGAACGGTCAAATGCTTTCTTCATCCTGAAAATGTTGTTTCTTTTGGGGAGCGCTACGCTCCCACACTCAAAGCTGCAGGCTCAAAGGTCCGATACAAACCTCTATTCATGCCGCCGCCGCCGCCGCCGCCTCCTCCTCCACAATGGATGGGGATGTCAAGACCCAAGAAAGTCTCCTTACCTTCGTGAAAACTTTGGCCGTTACAGAGTGTGCAAAATTGGTAAAGAGAGGAGGAGGAGGAGGAGGAGGAGGAGGGGGAGGAGGAGGAGGAGGAG